GGAATAAAATCGGAATTTTTGCTGTTATCGTGATAAAAATTTACGATTTGATATCGGAATTTTTCCGGGTCTCTGTCTCTGTATTAAGTCAGTTGCTTAACTGAGTGTGCGACAATTGATTTCTCATATATATACACCCCAAAAAATTTTTTCCAATTTCATCGATTCGTGCCACACTTTTTAAAGAAATAGCCATGTCCAACGTCTATCAAGCAATCGCAAATCTTGATTCAAACGAGGAAAGAACTGCGCTACGAACTTTCTTCACTCAGAATCCAGAAAAAAGAACTGAAGCGGAACTCATCCTTCCTACATGTAGTAATGAAGATGTGGTTGCTTATTTAAAAGATCTCTTAAAATCTGGTATGTTCTTTCGGCCGTGTCATATTCGCCAATAATACCGAATACTTACTTATTCTTGTGCTTTTCTTCCTGCTTCTTATCGTCAAACCCGCCCAAAAAACACATTCGCGTTATCGCAGATCAACCCGGTGCTGGTAAGAGAGTCGATCTCGTCTTTGTTGTATCAAACTTATGTTCTGAACTGTAAAATTTTTTCGTTGTCGTCACATTTGTTAAATCGTGTCTCATTTATTTGTTCTTATTATACAGAATTTCCCAATAAGCGAATGAAAGTTGATTATGGAGACCTGTTGAACTTTTGGAAGGCTTTAAGAACTACTACAATTGGTGAAAAGGATAATTCCCTCAAATTGCCTGATAATATCCATTTTTTGGGGAGAACTGACGAAGCTTCAGTCTTATTTATTCGTCAATGTTATCGTGATCTGTTCAAGGTTGTTTTTAGCAATAATACGAGAAGATTGATTATCACTGGAAATCCAGGGATAGGAAAAACGTTTTTTGACTACTATATACTTTATGAGCTCATGCGAAAAAACGCAACAGTTATATACGACAAAGCTAATAAGTTTCCGATTTTATTCAGCAATCAAACCGCTGTTGTTGGTGAAACTCTATTCAGTTTTTATGATCTTCTAAATAAACAAGACGTCTGGTATATCGTAGACGGTAAAGAACCTCATGACGTTGATGCTAAGACAATTCTTGTCTGTTCTCCCAAGAAGAATTACTATGTAGAATTTAATAAGCATCCTTTAACAAAAACACGGTATATGTCGACGTGGGACAAAAGAGAGATTGATACATGCTAGGAAAAGATTTATAAAAACAAAGTCGATAAAAAAATTGTTGATGATTTATTTTATAAATGGGGAGGAATTCCTCGATTCGTCTTGGAAAAAGCTAATGAAGGAACTCAGCAAAATAAGCTCCAAGAAGCAATTGACGAATGTGACGAGAGTATACTTATGGGTTCTATTGGCAAATCTGAAGCCAAACAAGATATAAGCCACAAGCTTATTCACATTATGACGAATTCCCTGATCGAGGAGAGCAATTATTACGATCTTGAAGGAGATGATGGTCTTGAAGAAGATGATGATGACATTGAATACGTTGAAGAGGAATCCTATACACAAAAAATTATAAAATTTGCGTCTGTGTATGTGAGTGAAATAGTGATTAAGAATTTTGAAAAGACCATCATGAATAAAATGCGTACAGAGTTGAATGTAAGCCTGTCAAACGGCATTAGTAATCCAGTATTGGGTAGTATTTTTGAAGAGATAGCTCACACGATATTGAAAAATGGGAGAAAATTCAAGATTCGTTCTTTAGATGACTGCAAGATATGATCAAACGATTAATAGGCGAGATAAGATATATACATTTTCTACAATTGAAACGATGACTAATGGAAATTATTTTCGACCAGATAATAAAAATTTCCCATCAATTGATTCTATCATTGCGCCCGACAAGCTCTTCCAGATGACTACTGCCATAAATCATCCTATAAAAATGATTGGTTTGAAAAAAGTTTATGCCAAATTAGCAAAGACAGGCGACATTGATTTTTTCTTTACTGTACCAGTGCAGTTATTTGACAGTTACAAAAACAGAAGTTTGTTACCACCAATAATAATAACGTCAAGAGAAAACCATCCTGGATTAAAAATCGTGTCAAGCAATATGTTCTAGGGATTGATTTGAGTTCCAAATTAGAAGATGTCGATGAAGGTAATGGATGTAGAAAGAAAAAGTAAAAGTAATGATTTATATATTCATTAGATATAGAGTTATAGAAAAATGGCATTTACAAAACATTATATGATAATTTTTTCATTCCCATACTTTGTATTATTTCTATTTGCTATTTTATATGAAAAAAATCAATTAATAAATTCATGAGGATTGTTATATTACTGTATCTATGATACTTGTATTATTGTAAGAAATCTTATTTAACATATATGTGGTTGGTGTTAGAGGTTTCCTTAATAAAATTCCAAATAGTTTCTGTAAAATTTCATTATGTGAAATCAATCACCTGGCTAACACAAATGCGTAGTAAAATTCTTGCCAACGAATAGGGGGACTGTGTGATATGTGAATCGTATATATATTTAAAAAAAAATTTTTTTCCTTTCCCAAGGTAAACAACCTATTAATGATGAGGAACGAAACCCTTAATAACAGTCGAAACTTAGACGAAATTATATTAAAATCATAATAAGGGATACGATGAAACCCTTTCAATACGAAGAAAGCTGAAACTGTCAAAACTATATTAAAAACATAGAAAAAGGTATGACAAAATTATTTTGAAGAGGTTTTGGCAGGCATCTATACAACCTGTAAATCAATCATTTTCCCTCTCTCTTCAAAAACAAAAAAATGAGAAAAGAAAAAAACCGAAAATTTTTATAAAATAATAACCGCAACTTGCGAACTCGTCCTGACTCACCTACAAAAAACAAAGAAGAACCCTCACAAAAGAAAACTATGACTGGCAGATCCTACCAAACAAACGAAACTCCAGCAGGCATCTCAAAAGCTGTTGACACAACCACTATTCTTTCAGTTGGCGACATGAGTGTCGATCAACAAGTCTTTGCAGTCCTAACTGAAGCTAAACAACCTTTTGCATATGGTAAAGGCCAGTGATTTTCTGAATACTCACAAAAAACTTTTACTACAAGCACCTCACCTATCCAGAAATCAAAGGATAGTGAAACAACGGCCTCTGGTGCTGACAACATCATGGACAAAGATCAGGCCTTTGACGTCTCTGAAAATTTATTAAATAACAAAGATACTAGTAAGAACACTATCACATTTGAAAGAGTCTGTGATGCGATTACTTTCTATGTTTATTACGCTACCAAAACTTTTCTTCCCAACAAATCCTTTTGAGAAAAGACCAACAAAGCCTATGAACTTTTTAATGGTGCAGCATTCCTATCATTCATTAATGTGTCAATCAAACAAGACCCAGAAAATAAAATATTAAAAATATTTCATTTAGGATTTATGACACGAACTGATGCAGACCGTGCTATGGCTGTAAAAATTTCTAATATAAAATCTATCTCATTTAAACCTCTTGTCGCACCTGCCCCTTTTAAGTTCGACCTGAGTAAATCGATCAAAGTTACAAAAATCCTGATTTTCACGTCTGAATAGATCATTAGATCGACATTTGCCTGTTTTGAAACGATCGTCAAATGCTCAATGTTGACAAAAAATCTTTGACAGCAGGCCACTATTTCATATGTACCCAAGACTGATTTGTCATTCTTTAATTCTCACACTAGTCTTTTCGTATTGAAAGACATGATCAGAGTTCACATCTGTTCGCTAACATCTGACAAAATTAAAGTGCATTTACAATTTACACTAAAACTTACGAACCTTCCCAAGGACACTTCAGGAAGAGAGCTAGAACCCATTGAAAAGACCATTAATATCATGACCTGGATGATTCCCAAAGCTAGATCTAACTATAGGAATCTACTGTATGCATTTATGCATTTTCATAACATAGATGACCTTGAAGTAGTAAAAAATAGCGATCCTATCAAATTTGACAATAGAAAACTCATTTGGACTGCACCTGATACTAACCTTTGCGCATATTGTTCAATTTCTGGACATGGCTCACGTAACTGTAGATACAAATGTCCCAATTCCAAAGACAAGCAAACACAAAATCTATACTAACGTTTCAAACCTACACAATTTAAAAACTACTCTACTTCTACGTCATGACCAAAGGTCACCTTTGTACATGATAAAGATTCAATATTTGACTCTAAAAACTCATAATCATTTGCTAACAGGATCAGAAATGTCAAAATCCCAGAAAAACCCCTTTAACAGCAATTAATAAAACTGGTGTTCCAAAATAAACTTTTCTTGATAATTCCATCCATACGTAGAAATCATGATCAGAGTAAATAGATGAGAAAGACGCCCCATATAGATTGACAAAAACCCTGTAACTAAATTGACAGATACACAAAGAATTCTTAACAAACTAGACGCAATCACAGCGATACTACATAATGATCTTGCCTTTTTGATGTATTGTCTTGATGAAGTGAAAAAGCATCTAAATATTTTTACACTCATATTCAGAAAGCTGCTGAACTCAATGAAGTGGCTAAAGCAGAAGGTGCGATAGAAACAGACACTATATACGAACCAGAAGTTAACATATTAGACTTCTGAGTAGTTACAGTAGCGGTCATAAGTATCCGACCGTCTCTAACTCTGGCTACAAGTAAGTAAATTCAAAAATTTTTTTTTTATTTAAAAAATACATAACCAACTAACT